GCAGGGCGAGATGCCACCAGTGGTGCTGCACGCCCATGTGCAGAAGCATCGTCCGCACGGCCTCGACGACCGTCCGCATCTCCTTCTCCGCCATGCCGTTCTGCTGCGGAGTGTACGGACAGGTCAGGTCGTGGACGATGCCTTTGCCGTTGACGAAGTTGGTGAAGTCCTTCCCCAGGAACTCGCCTCCGCGGTCAGAGCGGAGCATCATCACCGACTTCTTGGTTTGCCTCTCCACGACCACCAGCCACTGCTTAAACACTTCCAGGACGTCGCTTTTCTTGGCGACCGGCCTCACCCACACGTAGCGAGTCATTCGATCCTTCAGCAAAAGGAAGTAGTAGCTGCCATCCTTGGCAGCCACTCGGAACGGTCCGCACAAGTCAATGTGCACAACGGCAAGGGCTTCCTCCGCATCCGAACCTTTGTCGGGGAAGGTATGCCGTGCAAGTTTGCCACCTACGTAGGAGACGCACGGCAAATCGGTCCCTGTGGCAGGCGTGATGTCCAGGCCAGTGGCAACATTGTGCTTCGCCGAGCTCTTGATGATGTCGACGCCAACGTGCGCAAGCCTCGCGTGCCACCTGGGCGACGTCGACTTCGTTGCCGATGCGATCGTCCGCAGAGCCACCACCTCTGTCGACTTGGAAGACAACGTTGTTGAGCAGGGACGGAGGTCGGTGCAGAGGACGCGGCCAGTGTAGCGTGCTCGTCCAAGCACTTCGCCGGTCGCGTTGACGAGCATCATCTCATCGCCGTCGTCCTGCAGCTGCACACCGTTCTCCTTCAGCTGGCCAGCTGACAGCAGGTTCGCCTGCACGCCCGGGACGTAGAGCACGTCGGGGATGAGGACCTGCTTCCCGGCCTCCCCTTGCAGAGCGACGGTACCTCGGCCCTCGACGGTCTGCAGAGCCCCGTTGAAGCCACGCACATGCTTCACATTGCCCCTTGGCCCCATGTCAACAAAGGACTCCTTCGTCCCCATGAGGTGGTGTGAGCAACCGCTGTCGAGCAGAACCACCATTGGATTCGCCTGCACGGCTGCTGCGACCGCTTTGAAGTCTTCGCCGGCCTCTGGTGCCAGTGAAACAGTCTGCTCCACCACGCCAACCATTGAGCACGAAGCCTCTCCGTCACTTTGCCCCTTGCCGCTGGAGGGGTCGACCTCCTTCGTCGACGACGTCTTCTTCGACGTCTGCTTCTCCTTGCGCGGCTTCTCGTCGCGACTTTGACGACCGTTGGCCGACCTTCCACGGCCTCCCTTGTGGTCATCTTCGTCAGTGCCTTCTCGGTCAGGGCAGTCATAGGAGAGGTGGTCGGCGCTTCCGCAGACCCAGCACTCACGCCGTCGACCACTCTTGCCGCGACCGCTGTCACGAGTTGATTTCGCCTGGTCGGCGTCCTTCGCCGACCTCCCACCTCCGCTACCACCTCCGTCAGACTTTCCTCGCTGCCCCTGCGGACGATTCTGCTTCGTCGGTGCAGCGTAACTCGCCTGCGGAAGGAGCTCCGTGGGCTGCTCTGCCTCCTGCATAGCCTCATCTTGAAGGATGTAGCTGGTGATGGAGTCCTCGTCGAGGGACTCCCGCGTGCCGGGCACCATCATCATCCTCTTCATGAGGTTGTAGCTCCGCGGCAGGCCCTTGACGACGTGGGTGATGTAGGACGCCGTTGAGTATTCAGCGCCCGCCATCCGCATTTCGGCCAGTATCCGTCGAGCACGGTTGCAGTAGTCCGTCGCCGACTCCTGCTCACCCATCCGAAGATGTGTCATCTTCTCCTCTAGCTGTCCGATGTACAGGTCGTCCTTCGCCTGGTACGTCGACAGGATGAAGTGCCATGCTTCGTGACCAGCATCCAGACGCTCTCGACAGCTCCTGAGCGCAAGCTGCACCACCGGCGAGCAGCACCTCGAGATGACCATGAAGGTGAGCAAGTGAGCAGCACGAAACTCCCCGCGCAGCTCGACATCGTCCTCGTGCGGAATTGGCACAGTACCGTCGGCAAAGCCCTTCAGCCCGGCGACCTCCAGCTGAGGTTCTATCGACTCCCTCCAAGTGATGAGGTCCCGTCGACCTTGCAGAGGTGCAACGGTGATCTTGTCCGGCGAAAACTTGAAGTAGCCATACGCCGGCGCGATCCCGCCCGCTGTCACGTGCGTCGTCGACGAGGGACTTCCACTGCTTCGTTGAGGTGCCATCGACCGCCGCACTCGCGCTTGACTCCCGCCAACACCACCGTCGAAGGACCTGAGCACTCCAATCTGCCTCGTGCCCGCGCTGCCACTGACTCGATCACCTCCGTCGACCACCTCGTCGACGCCGCCGTCGTTACGCACCGGTCGAGGAGAGGCGGACGCACCGTCCGCTCCAGGTTGGGGAGGGTGTTCCGCTGCCCACTTTGCACGGATCCCAAGGAGAACCACCTCCAAGGGGAGCACCGTCCAAAACTCGCCTTCTCCATGACGTCTCGTCGCATAAGCCAGACGTGCTTCTAAAGTATCCTCTACCCCGTCGGCCTCTGCCAGGGTAGGCACCATAGTTCGCACGGGCTGCCGGCCTACGAACGACTTAGGTAAGTGACAAGTCGGTTCCTATCTGAAGGTATCCTTGCGGGGCCGTCCACGCTCACCGCACCATGTGGAGATTAACTCTACAACGGTGGGAGCTAGACTACGGGGTTGGCACGAGTTGTCAGAGTGATCGTAGCTCTGTCTGTGTTCTCTAGGACTTGTGTTTTCATAGGGCAAAACAGCAAGAGTTTCACTAAGGAATGTTGAGAATACAGAGTTCAGAATGAACAAGCAATGGCAAAGATTGACTACATCACATGCAAGGTTTGCTAGTGCTCAGGCAGGTTGACTGCCAGCGTGACAGAGTTGTCGTCCTGCCAACGTAGCAAGTCTGCGGTCCGCCAACGCAGCTTGTGTGCGACTTGCCAACGCTGCAGATGGCGGCCTGCCAACGCTGCACCCGCGCGGCTTGCCAACGCAGCATCCGCGCGGCTTGCCAACATTGCATCCGCAGGTGATTGTAAGCACATGTGCAGGCACCTACTTCGCAGGTGCTTGTAGACAGTTATGCACGACGTGCACTGTCACACACATTGCGCAGGTTGTCAGCCACATGCTGACGGTTGCACATGATGAGCCACGTCGACCACGTGCTGCCACGTCGGTCGACTTCGCCACAACAGCCTCGACGACGTTCGCACACCTTCGCGCACCTCGTCGAGCAGGTAACTTGGTCAACCAGGAGAAGTCCTTGACATCTCTGCAGGATGATGACCTTCGTCATCACCGGTTGGCGACCTTCGTCGTCGCGGGTTGACGACCTTCGTCGTCGCTGCTCGACGACCTTCGTCGAGCACCCTCGTTGAGCACCTCGGTTGACATTTCAAAATGTCAGCCCCTGATTGGTCGAAATTAGGGCACATTCGAATTTCTGGCCAAAATTCGCCTGTGCAGTCTCAAGGTTGCGCAGGGTCAGACGCGACCCTGCGCAGACGAACACCCGCGAACTTCTGTACAGGCTGCGCCACTTGTACATGTGCACGGGACATCTGTGATGCACTCGCGGATGCTTCTGCTACCCTTGCATGGATTCCCTAGTACACCTCGTGTACAGGCAACCCTTGTACTCCTGTAGAAGGTCGGCTGCACCTCCCGCACACCCGACCACAAAGTCAGTTCTGCCCATGCGAGGGCGGGGCCAACTTCCTTCAACACCCCCATGGCCTTGAGGTCGTCATTGTACCCCTTCGCTCGATTCATGTAGTCAATGACCCTTTCCCCCGGCTCCATACTCAATAGAAGGAGTTTCTTCCGAATGGCTGCTTTGTTCGTATCCGTAAGCCCAAGGTAAGCAGCTTCCATGTACTCCAGGCTCGTTCGGCAGAGTTCTCCTCTCCCGCAAATTGATCCAGCCCCGCTGCAATGCTGTCAGAAACCGAATGGCACAATTGAAAAAAGGCTAGCTTACTCCTTTTTTTGAATGACGCATTTTCTTCTGGTTTTACTTTTGCAGATGGTGGGACGCCCTCTCCCGTCTCCTTGTCGGGATGATAGTACGGCCAGAGATCGACTTCCTCCGCTCTACGAATGAACTTGAGTCGCCACGTGCTATAATTTTCTCCATGGAACCGTTGGGCCTCGCTAAGCCCAATCGTTGGCTTCGCCGTCAATTTAGCTTGTGCTAGCGCTGTTAGGATGGCCTGTAGTTCTGAGCCTCCAATGCTCACAGAGGAGCCCGAACTCGCCTCAGTATGATCGCCCGTCATACTTAGTAAATTCCGCCTATCCTTAAAGCGTTAGAACACGCCTTAAACCAGCTCTGATACCAGCTCTTGTACGTGCGCAGCCTTTGGTCTAGACTATGAAGACTATTTAGAGTCTTAGTAACAATCATATGAAGCTCTGGCCTCAACTGTGTGAAGGAATCTGCTGGAAAACGCCAAGGCAGAAAGTTCAAGTAATTTCATTGAAGAAGGCATACAAAAACAGAAAACACAAAGCAAGTTATAAGCCAAAGGATTTCTGATTTCGCCCTCGCGCCGCGCCTAATTTCGAGCTGAGTTGTACTCGGCTCAATTTCCAAATCCAACCATGCACCGAACGCGCCTCGAGTTCGAATTTCAGACTTCCTTGGACGCGCCTTTGACCCGGCGTGACTTCTCTTCACGTCGCTTGAAATCTCGACATTTCAGCCGTTTTCTTCTCCACTTCTGCATACTTCCCCTTCTTCTCTTCGATTCCCACTGCAGGTCGCGCCGCTGCCGTGTTTCTCCTTCCACCGTCCCAACATAGGTAGCTCCTCTTCTTCTTAGGTCCTCGCCTTCCCTTAATCTCATCTCGTCAAGGTAGGTCTTTCTTAGGTCGATGTAGGTCGCTCCAGGTTGTGCTAGGTCGTGGTTAGCTAATCACCTTCAACACATCGATTAGCAGCCAAATCCAAATTACATCCCTCCTCTCTCGAACTCTCGGTTCACCTCCGAAATTTCAGTCTACGATGGGGCTCCAGCGCTATGCCGGCTTGGCAATTTGCCTCTTGGTCGTCACCGCCGCAAGCGTCGGTAAGTGAGCCTCGCATTTTCAACTAACAAGCCGCTTGATCTATCATCCGTTCAGTTCCAGAATCAAGATGATATGATGCTATTCACAATTCTAATATTCTACGTGCCTCGTGGTTCTTCCGTCTGCTGCGCAGCGACCACGACAGCGCAAGCCCCGAAGGACAGGCCCTGCACGTTGCCCAAGCCCGACCAGGCTGAAGCTCTCGGGACTCTGTCAGGTAAGAAACTCACGGGAACATGTGAGACTGCTCACTCTGGTAACAGAGGTACTGCTGAGGATCTGACACTCTCGATACTCCCGTAACCGGGTGGGGCTGTTCGTCGCACAGCGTCATGTGATGGCATGTCCTTCCACAGGAAGGAACGACGCCGTTACAAGCCTCGCCTCATATCACCGCTAATAACCGCCCCCGCTAGGGATCATCCGAAGTTACCCCACCCCTTCCCTCCAATCTCCTTCCCGCTTCGCATCGCTCCGCCCCTCCCCCTCCCCTTCTATCCGCGCAGCGATTCTCTCCACGCCGGTGAGCGGATCCTTCGGCGGGTGGACGGGCGACGTCAACGCCAGCGGTCAAGTCTGCCTCGCCGTCTACGGGTAAGTCTCCACGCAATCTCCGTGAGCCTTGCCTACTTCCTCCCTTTTTTCAGCTCCCCTCTTCAAATAATGCGACTCTCATTCCTCTCGTTCCCAAACTCATTTCAACGGCGAACCCTGACTGAATCCGTCAGGTTGAACGGCGACTACAACATCTTTTACAGCGTCGTTGCCTCCAAAGCCGACGCGGGCGAGCCGACCTTCGCCGGCATTGCGAAGGACGTGGGACAGGAGAGACTTGTCGCCGTCTTTTTCTCCCCCCCAGGGACCGACGGCCCGTGGGAGGATCTTACTAATGCGCCGGTTTCGCCAAACCAGAGCAGGAAGAGCCTGGGCGACGCACCCGCTTCCCCTTCCACATACACCTACGCCTTAAATGGAACGTGGCTTAAAGCGAGTACGCTGACCACGTTCCAAGGGGACACTTACAAGCAGCTGGTGGATTCGATTATCGCGGGGCCTGAAGGGTACTGCACAGGGTTCGGAACGGCAGCTTTCCAAGCGGGAGCAGCCATGGGGCAGTTCCAGGTTCAGCCCGTTGCCGTCAAAGCCTAAGGACATAAGGAGCAGTGGGGACTCTAGAAATGATGATGTAGTTGATATGGAGGAGATCTAGGAAATGTATGAAATATGTATGATATTCCTGTTGATACTTGAGAACTTTGTGAAGCAAGTGAAGCTTTTGATACTTGAGCTTGTCCTCCGTCTCCCTGACTCTCTTTTCCTTGGGCTGCATGCATTACTTGCAGTCTGTAAACCCTGTCTTGGTGGAGCGATAGCTACAGTCCACTCCATAGCATGCCAGCCAAAGAACAATGCTAGCTGCCTGGAGATGGAAGTGCTCCCCCCCCTGGGCATTACAAGAAAATCTTATGGTTTAGAATGCCCAACCCAGTAGCCCAGACAGGGAAATAGACCTCAAGCAAACACTAATGCATGCGGTACTTTGATACCCGCCTATAATGGAGAAGGCCGTAAGACAAGGGTGGAACCAGCTGAACCTTCTCTTTTGTGGAAGCATGTGGGGAATGCGTGTTTGAACTCTACTCAGGGCACATAAGGGGCAAGGAGGCTGAACCTTTTTTCAGAGCAAAGATGCTAAACCCCTTTCCACATGGTGCATCACACCATGATTGCCTGTTTGAGCATTTAGTTTTGGTACATGCCAGGCGAAATAAGGCTGGCTGGCTTGTAGACGTCTCAAAACACACGCGACATGTCACGCCATGATTGCTTGTTTGAGCACTTTGTTTCGGTACACGCCAAGCGCCCAGATGGGGAAGATGTTGCGATAAGCGGAGTAGCTTATCATGCAGTTGCCGTTGAACACCCCTATGATGTCCTGCAGAGGATCAAATCATACGCATGATACGCAGAGGGACAGAGGCAGCACCAAATCGCCAGAGGTTGTAAGGTTCATTCAGAGGGCTCCCCTCCCCACCCCCCTGTCCTCGCTTCTCACCCTTAGCACCCAGCGCGCGCACACACCTACTGGGGAAAGTCGCCATTCTCCATCTGCCCGTTCACCAGCACCCGCGCTGCGGCATCCAGAGGGCAGCGTGCTTGTATCAGAGTGCCCCCCACCCCCTCTCCTCTCGCTCACCTCCTGGGGGAAGTCCCCGTTCTCCATCTGCCCATTCATCAGCACCCGCGCTGCAGCGTGCAAAGGCCGAGGGTCGCGCAGGTGCTGCCATGGGAGCATTTGGGAAGGGAGGGGTGATGTTGGGGCGAGGGGGGATGAAGGGTGGAAGGAGGCAAGAGGACTTAATGTGGCGAGCACCCCTGCTGGCGTGCAGAAGGCTGGGAGGCGTGCAGATCCTGGCAAGAGGAAGTGAGTGCTCAGATAGCAGATAGTACCTCTCCTACGAAGCAGATACCACCTCCCTCAGGCACACCCGACGTACCTGCTCGGCTTCCATGAGGGCCAGCATGGCCTGCAGGCAGATACCACCTCTCCTACAGAGCAGATACCACCTCTCCTACACAGCAGATAGCACCTCCCCCAGGCTCAACCTACCTGCTCGGCTTCCATGAGGGCCAGCATGGCCCACGCCGTGTTCACCAGGTGCGGGCGGTCGCCTGGCAGGTTGATGTATTTCTGCACGTGATGGGTTACGGTGAGGTAGGGATATGAGGGGAAAGAGGAAGATGGCATTGGAGAGGGGGAGAGAAGAGAGAAGCAGGCAGATGAGATGAGAGTGAGAGTGTTGGAGTTCACCCGGTGAGAGCGGTCGCCTGGCAGGTTGACGTATTTCTGCGGGTGATGGGTTACGGTTAGGTAGGGAGATGAGGATGCAAGATGGGAATGAGAGGGTGACATGTGACAGACAACGAACGTGGCACTGGAGAGGGGGGCATCGCGCAGATAGGTGGACGTGACTTTTGAGTCGACTCAAAAGGCACTGGTGAGGTGAGGGGGGGATCGCATGGCAGATAGGTGGGCGTCAGCTCTTCAGCCAGGCAGGGCGGTCGCTGTAGATGGAAGATGGGATATTGGTTGGGGTAAAAGAGGCACGGGAGATGATGGGGGTATAGAGACGACTTCTGAGGCGCCTCTTGGAGCGATTTTTTAGGCGCCTCAAAAGCCAGGCAGGGCGGTCGCTGTAGATGGATGATGGGATATTGGTTGGGGTAAAAGAGGCACGTGAGACGAGGAGAGCAGCATGTGGAGGCCGGATGTGGGCAGGGTAGTGATTGATCGCTAGCCTTTGGTGTGCTGTGCATGTATCCCTGCAAGTGACCTGTGTTTGAGGCGCCTCAAAAGTTATCCCTGCAAGTGACCTGTGTGAGGTGAACGGGCGTGAAGTGTCAGCAAAGGTCCCCTTGAAACGTACTCGCTGTCTCAAAACTGGTCGCAGCGTACCTCACAACGGCTTTTACGTCCTCTCAAAAGCCACTTAACCACATAGCACAGCGCAGCACACACCCACACACACACACACGCCTCGCCTTGGATGGACAAAAAACTCTTCCCCACCCCCTCCCGGCAGTTCTTAGAAATCTAAAAGATTGTACCCTTGGCTGGAAAGGTAGCTCTCCCCCCACCCCCCTGCCGGCAGCTGCTTGTCCAACAGGAAGCGCACTGCCTTGCGCCGTGTTCCTCAACCACACGCACTCAGCGCACACACCTTGTCTTGGCTAGACAAATAGCTCCCCCCCCCACCCCCCTGCTGCCAGCTGCTTGTCCAGCAAGAAACGCACGGCACACGGCACACCTGGCACACATTTGTATGTAGACGCACAGCACCGCACACATTTGTATGTAGACGCACAGCACCGCACGCATTTGTATGTAGACGCACAGCACCGCACGCATTTGTATGTAGACGCACAGCACCGCACGCATTTGTATGTAGACGCACAGCACCGCACGCATTTGTATGTAGACGCACAGCACCGCACACACACCTTGTCTTGGCTCGACAAGTAGCTCTCCCCCCATCCCCCTGCCGGTAGCTGCTTCTCCAGCAGGAAGCGTACGGCCTTGCGGACGGCATTCGACGTCTCATAGCGCGCCCCCGCTGCCACCAGCCCTGAGATCCCGAACCACGTGCCGTACGTGAAGCACACGCCCCAGCTGCCGTACCTGCAACGAGGTTCGGGTGGGGAGGAGAGTATGGGGGTAGGGATCACGGAACCTGGCAAGCCGTACGTGTAGCACATGCCCCAGCTGCCGTATCTGCGTCCATTGCTGCTAGGGATTGCGGGTTGGGGATCGCGGGGTTAGGCTTGCGGGGTTAGGGATTGCGGGGCTAGAGGTTGCTGCTACCAGTGCCACCACATGCGATAACTGCAGCACACGCCCCAGCAGTCGCGCCTGCATGGATGGTTTGGGTGGCGAGCAGGTGTGACGATCAGCCCGTCCAGCTTTAATGTGCAGCCTCAGGTGTGGTTGCCCCATTTGGGGAACAATCAGTCACTCTGCACCTCTTTACCCCCGCATGCAAGGGAACAACCGATCAGACCTTCATAATTGTGAAACAGACAGCAAGGCATGTAAGAGCAGCGTTGCATGTTCAATACGGTACGCCTCCTCCACTCACCACGAGCCATCGTCCCTCTGGATATCCACCAGGAAGCCGCGCGCCTTGCAGATGGCCTGCTCGATGTCATATTTTCTGCACGGTACTCCGGCGTGCTGACGTGCCACACCAAGGCATGTTCGTGCAATGCAGGTTCATACCTTTGCAATGCAGGTTCATACCTTGCAATGCAGGTTCATACCTTGCAATGCAGGTTCATACCTTGCAATGCAGGTTCATACCTTGCAATGCAGGTTCATACCTTGCAATGCAGGTTCATACCTTGCAATGCAGGTTCATACCTTGCAATGCAGGTTCATACCTTGCAATGCAGGTTCATACCTTGCAATGCAGGTTCATACCTTGCAATGCAGGTTCATACCTTGCAATGCAGGTTCATACCTTGCATGCTCTTACGCCTCCACTCACCACGAGCCATCGTCCCTCTGGATATCCACCAGGAAGCCGCGTGCCTTCCAGATGGCCTGCTCGATGTCATCTGCCCGGTACTCCGGGTGCGCTCTTGTGAACGCTGTAAGGGCCTGGATCGATGCTTACGTGCACTCCACGTAGCTGCAGCAAGCGGCGGGAGTCGTGGGAAAAAGGTCAACAGGAAGGAAGAAGAGCGGATCAGAACGTCATGAGTGTGCTCTTGTGAAAGCTGTGAGGGCTTGGATCGATGTTGACGTGCACTCCACGTAGCTGCATGCATTGTTTGGCCAAGCTCGGTTGCACTCACTCACTCATACACTCATACCATTCCCATGAAACTAGATGACAAGCAGCAGAGGGTTGCACAGACAATACTGCGATTAAACGTCTGGTGGAGGAGCATGGGAACGATGGAGAAGAGTCAATCAATTGAATATTGCAGTACTCACGAGTAGTCAATGATAATGTTTCCAAACGTCTCAGATGGATTTAGGATCTGCATGGGGTGATGAGGGAGGGAAACGAGGGCCCGACAAGTGGAGGAGGAGAGACGAACAAGGGACGGAAAGAAGTGAGTGCCGGCAGTAGAGGGAGTAGAGGAAGGAGGGGGACGGGAGGAAAAAGGCAGGAGATTCAGGTTTGATGCCGACATTGCTGAGAATTCCACTCAAGCCAGAAAGCACATGCAGCGCAGCGCATCACCTATGAGCTCACCTCAAGCCAGGGGTAGGAGCGTGTGTTCTCATACGTGGCCATCCCCCCATCCTTGTTCTGTCGGGGTGAAGGGGAAGGGACGCAGGTTGGGGAAGAAGAGGGGAGGGGGGAGGGGGGGGAGGGGAGAGGGGAGATATGGGGTTTTGAAAGAGTGATGATCCAGGGAGGAAATGGCAGCAGGAATAGCAAGATGGGGGTGGGGAACACATGCGGTCATGCCGCTGTGATGCCGCCCTTGTTCTGCCAGGGGAAAGAGAGAGGAAGTAGGGAGACGGAAGAGGGAGAGGGGGAAGGTGAGAGGGGGGAAAAGGGGAGGGGAGAAGTGGGAGGGGAGGGGGGGGGGGACAGTAGGGGAGTGGAGAGAGGAGAAGGCAGAGATGGAGAAAAGGGAGGGTGTGGCAGGAGAGGCGGCTGCATGAGTGGTGGGAGTGGGTGATCTCAAACCAGCATGTGTGTTGGTATCATGGTGCCACTTGAAATGAGAGTAGCAAATGCACACAGATGCACACAGATGCACACATGCCCACATGCCCACGTGCACACATGCACACATGCACACATGCCCACATGCCCACATGCACACATGCACACATGCCCACATGCACACATGCACACATGCCCACATGCACAAATGCACACATGCTCACACGCCCACATGCCCACATGCCCACACGCACACATACATACACACCCACATGCCCACATGCCCACATGCACACATACATACATACCCACATGCCCACATGCCCACATGCACACATGCATACATACACACACACATGCCCACATGCACACATGCACACATGCACACATGCCCACATGCACACATGCACACATGCCCACATGCACACATACACACATGCACGCATGGCCACATGCACACATGCCCACATGCCCACATGCCCACATGCCCACATGCACACATGCACACATACACACATGCTCACATGCACACATGCATACTCTCACCTTGTAGGAGAGAATGACGTTGTCGCTGAACTGGTAGAAATGACAGCATCACTGACCTGGTAGGAGAGGATGACGTCACCATTGACCTGGTAGGAGAGAATGACGTCATCACTGACCTTGTAGTAGAGAATGACGTCACCACTGACCTGGTAGGAGAGGATGACGTCATCACTGACCTGGTAGGAGAGAATGACGTCACCACTGACCTGGTAGGAGAGAATGACGTCATCACTGACCTGGTAGGAGAGAATGACGTCATCACTTACCTGGTAGGAGAGAATGACGTCATCACTGACCTGGTAGGAGAGAATGACGTCATCACTGACCTGGTAGGAGAGAATGACGTCATCACTGACCTGGTAGGAGAGAATGACGTCCACACAGTCGCAGAGGCGGCGCTCGGGAATGGCCTCGCCCACCAGGTGGGGCGGGAGGGCCTCCAAGATGAGCGATGCCTGATGGTGAGAGAGAGGTGGGAGGTGGGAGGTGGGAGGTGAGGAGGTGGGAGGTGAGGAGGTGAGGAGGTGGGAGGTGAGGAGGTGAGGAGGTGGGAGGTGAGGAGGTGAGGAGGTGGGAGGTGAGGAGGTGAGGAGGTGGGAGGTGAGGAGGAACAGGGAGAGAGATATAGGTTTTAGGTGTGATCCCCACATTCCTTCCTCACCCACCAGGTGGGAAGGGAGGGCCTCCAAGATGAGCGATGCCTGATGGTTGTGAGAGGTGAGCATTGAGGAGGGTGAGAGAGGCGACCAACAAACAAGGGAGACAACTATGGCATGTATGTCGATAAATATAATGCACTTTGTAAACATGACACGTATATCGATTGATACATTTAGTGCGATTTCAAACATGGCTTGGATAATGAATGAGACATAAAATGCCATCTCCTACACGATGCACAAAGCACACCCATTGTCAGCATCCCATACTCCTTATAAGCACACTCACCTTGAGCCCTTCGGACGAGCAGTCACTGATGGGCCAGCCGTGGTCTCGGGTTGAGAAGGGCCAGGCGCCCCTGGAGATGTGGCGGTACCATGCCGACAGCTTGCCGGGACAGTCCTCCTGCACCTGATTGGTTTATTGGTTGGTTGCATGGACACAGCGTGAGGGGAAGAGGAGAACGAAGGTGCATGGGGAAAGGCCAGGCGCCCCTGGAGATGTGGCAGTACCATGCTGACAGCTTGCCGGGACAGTCCTCCTGCACCTGGTTGCAGCAAGGATTAAGTGAAGAGGCAAGAGGAAAACAGCGATGCATGGGGGTGGAAGGGCCAATCCCTTGGAGATGTGGGCGGGGCGGTACCACGCTGCCAGCTTGCCACAACAGTCCTCCTGCACCTGGTTGGCGGAATGGCAGTACTGGTGAGGGAAAGAGGAAAGTGGATAAGGAAGATGCATGGTGGTGGAAGGGCCAAGAGATTTCCTCCATGGAGATGTGGCGCAGTAAGAGATTCAGGATAAGAAGGATGCCAACAGAGGGGATGGGACCTTGCAGCTTACTTGGGAGCGTTCAAGGTAGGAGTGAGCGAGGTTGAGGGCGCGGTGGGTCTCATCCATCATGTGGGTGGCGTGCAGCGCCTGCACTGCAAAGGCCGTGTCCCACAGCTGGCTTCCGTTGTACCCCTGATTGGGGTTTGGGGTTTAGGGGGGGGGTAGCTGAGGTTTTAAGATGGCCAATAACTACACATTCCCTTATGAGTACACACACCCCCTATATTCAAATGCTGTGCAGTCACAATCCCACCCGCATCTTCAAGCCATCATCAGCCACATAGGTAATCAGGTGGATGTCGTTGTTGTGGTTATTAAACCTCCTACAGTGGCACCTCATACAGTCACACACACCTCATACAAACCTCATACACTCTCACCTGATACAAACCTCATACACTCACACCTCATAATACAACCCAACATCATACAGTCACATACACCTCACAATACAACCCGACATCACACAGTCACACCTCACAATACAACCCCACATCACACAGTCACACCTCACAATACAACCCCACATCACACAGTCACACCTCACAATACAACCCCACATCATACAGTCACACCTGCATCTTCATGCCATCCTCCGCCAGCCAGAGGTAGTCCGCCACCTGTGGCAGATGCTTGTTGTGGTTACCACGCCTCATATAGTCACTCCTTATAGTCACACCTCATACATGCATGCTTCATACATACATATAGTCACACAGCCCCACCTGCATCTTCATGCCGTCCTCGGCCAGCCAGAGGTAGTCCGCCACGCGTGGCAGGTGCTTCTTGAACGCCTCGCTGTTGGGATCCTCCACCCAGCAGCACAGCATGTTGATCACCTGGGAGAGGGGAGGGGTGCGGAGTAGTGGGGAGGAGTGAGAGCATAAGAGGGATGAATGAGTCAGACTGCACTGTAACTGAATGCTGCACTGTTGGGATCCTCCACCCAGCAGCACAGCATGTTGATCACCTGCCATGGGGGGGAGGGAGGGGAGGAGAGGCAGGAGAGGCAAAGGGGCAGGGGAGGGCTGAACTCGTCAGGCCGCTTGCCGAATGCCGCACTGGTGGGATCGTCCACCCAACAGCACAGAATGTTGATGACCTGGGGGAGATAAGGAGTGGGGACGAGTGGGGAGAGTGGGGAAGTAAGGGTAGGGGAGGGGAGGGGGAGGGAGGAAAAGGAACAAGGGGAAGAGGGGGTGGGGGAGGAGCGGATGCAGGAGAGGAGAAGGGGCGGGGGAGGGCTGAACTCGTCAGACAACTTGCTTACTGAAGCCGCACAGCATGGTGATCACCTGGGATGGGAAGAGAGCAGTGGGGGAGGAAGAGGCAGGAAAGGGCTGATCTCATCACTTTGACTTTTGAGATGTTTTAAAAGTTAAGTCGAGAGAGCAGCACAGCGGAAACATTTGGGGAGGGGGAGGGGAGAGGGTGGGGGGAAGGAGAAATTTGAACAAGCACTGGAGGAAGGACGTGTTGACTTTTGAGTCGACTCAAAAGGGTGGGGGGAAGGAGAAATTTGAACAAGCACTGGAGGAAGGACGTGTTGACTTTTGAGTCGACTCAAAAGGGTGGGGGGAAGGAGAAATTTGAACAAGCACTGGAGGAAGGACGTGTTGACTTTTGAGTCGACTCAAAAGGGTGGGGGGAAGGAGAAATTTGAACAAGCACTGGAGGAAGGACGTGTTGACTTTTGAGTCGACTCAAAAGGGTGGGGGGAAGGAGAAATTTGAACAAGCACTGGAGGAAGGACGTGTTGGAAGAAGGTGGAAGGGTGGGAGGGGGGGGGGGGCGGAAGATGGGTGAAGTGGTGCGAGGAAGAGGGGGCAGAGGACGAGGGGGCTTTGATGTTAGTTGAGTGAATATGATCTCTGGTAGGCAACAGCTTTCCTCAATCTCGTTCACCTTATTGACAGGTCCGATGCAGACATAGCGGGTGTTCTCGTCCTCGTAGTGTATATGCTTCATCGCCTCCCTGAGCGCCATCCTCCTTACAAGCTTCCCCGGTGGCAGCTTATTGAAGAGCGGCTCGGCCACGTGGTATAGGGCGTCCCACAGGCAGTCCTGAATGAAGGGATGCGGGAAGTAGAGGTCCTCCTGTGGGAAAGAACGGAGGAGAGGGGAGGAATGGAGAAACGAAGAGGTGGAAAGGCAAGTGGATTGAGCAGCTGCTTTACCACGTGGTAAAGGGCATCCCACAGGCAGTCCTGCATGAAGGGATGCGGGAAGTAGAGGTCCTCCTGTGAGACGGGGGAGGAGGAGGGGAGGGGATGAGGGGAGGCATAGATAGACTCATAGGGAATGCAAGAAGGTGGCATGGTAGGTGGTAAGTGCATTGCATTCCACAGGCAGTCTTGGATGAAGAGGTGCGGGAAATAGAGGACCTCCTGTGGGACGGGGGAGCCGGGGAGAAGGGGAGAAATGGTAGCAGGCTTTTTAGAAGCAGCTTCAAGTACACCGGTGTGGGGAGGGAAGTGGGATGAGCAAAAAGGGGAACACATGAATAGGCCTGAGGGGCGTTTCATTGAGGGGTGTTTCACTGAGGGGCGTTTCATTGAGGGGCGTTTCATTGAGGGGTGTTTCACTGAGGGGCGTTTCATTGAGGGGCGTTTCATTGAGGGGCGTTTCATTGAGGGGCGTTTCATTGAGGGGCTTGTCTCTAGGCAAACAACGGATCACCAAGTGAGTATCGAGACACATTGTATCTCGATTCATTTCCAAATCGAGAACATGTCAATTATTGAATGTAGAAAACGGCCGCCACATAAAGATTGCTTGTGATCTCCTTTCTAAGAGAAGGCACCCACCTTGGCACATCGGCGCCTCATGTTGTTCCAGTTGATGGACTCGTGCGGCTCGTTATAGAGCTCCTCTCTAAGAGCCGCAACAAGGGGCGTGTCGGTGGGGCCGTGAGCTCTCAATCCGTAGATGTAGCACATGGGGAGGTAGACCATGCGACAGTGGCACCACATACGGCCTGCGTAGGGGAGTGGAGAACGATGGAGAGGGATGGCGAGGGATGGAAAGAGATGCAGAAGGATGGAGAGGAATGGGGAGAAGTAGAGAGGGGGGCGCTCAAGCCGTAGATGTAGCACATGGGCAGGTACACCATGCGGCAGTGGCACCACATACGCCCTGGGGAGGGGAGTGGAGAGGGATGGAGATGGATGGGTAGGAGTTGAGAGGGGTAGAGAAGGAGGCGCTCAAGCCATAGATGTAGCACATGGGGAGGTAGACCATTCGACAGTGGCACCACATGCGCCCTGGGAAGGGCGATTGGGAGGGAGGAATGGAGTGTGCGAGGGGGAAAGAGGGATGAACCGAGAGCAAGGGAGAGAGAGAGAAAACTCAAAACTATGATGCACTGTTTCATTTTGTGCGCTGTGGGGTGACTAGATCGTGCATATATCCAATGCTCTTGGAACACTGCGAATGTCTCAATGCAACATCTTGCCAGGTGATTGTGATTCACCTTGTGGTACCACTCACACAAGGAGCATCGTCCAGGGAAGAGGGAAGTAAGAAGAGGGAAGAGGAAGACATACCAGGGTGCATGGGGAGGAAGTAGGGCAGCAGCCACATCTCAGGAGGCATGGGGTTGATGCCTCTGTAGTCGTACACGCCTAGCACCTGCCCATTGCAGCAACAGTGGATGCATGAGGGAATATGTGGGGGAAGGTCGAGTGCTTAGAGGCGCTCAGGAGGTTTCTGGCGGCATGGGGTTGATGCCCCTGTAGACTGCTGTAGTCGTACACGCCTAGCACCTGCCCATGAGAGCAACAGGGGATGTATGAGGGGATATGCGATGGAAAGGTGAGTGCTTGGAGGCCCTCAGAAGCTTTCACCATACCCCTGTAATCATACACGCCTAGCACCTGCCCATCGCAGCATTGGAGGATGCATGAGGGGGGCGGGGAGGGGACTTGTGAGGAGAAGGGTTAGTGCTTAGAGACGCTCAGGGGGTGGCATGGGGTTGACGTCCCTGTAGTGCTTATGACTATACACGCCTAGCACCTGCCCATCGCAGCGACGGTGGACAAGTGAATGCGAAGGAGAGTGAGGGAAACGGCACCCACACACGCCAATGGAACCTGCAGCAGCAGTATCCGCCCAGTAGGGTTGCGTTGCATTGCTGCGAAACAACAAGATAAGAATAAACTACAGGAGAGGAGAGAGTCGGCTGCTCAAAGGAGTTTACTAACAGGATGGTCCTTCTGTCTCGTGCATCCCTTTTGAGTCGACTCAAAAGGTACTGGAGAGGAGAGAGTTGGGTCGGGTGCTCAAAAGAGTTTACTAATAGGATGGTCCTTCTGTCTCGTGCATCCCTTCTGTCAGCTGATGGTACGAGGATGCAAGAAACAGAAGGTCAACAAGAAGTGGGTGACCAATCGGGGGTTGAAGGGTTAGTTGGGCAACTGCAACACCATTGGTCACGAACGTGGTCTAAAGGGTGACCCTTAAAAAACACATAGTTCCCGGAGTGCACTCACGCAGAGCCAAAATTCGCCCCAGGAGGTGCTGGCAGTGGCACCAGCGTGGCAGCAGAATGCAGATGGTAATGAAATACATAGTCCCTCCCTCCCTCCCTCCCTCCCTCCCTCCCTCCCTCCCTCCCTCCCTCCCTCCCTCCCTCCCTCCCTCCCTCCCTCACTGCACTCACGCAGAGCCAGAATTTGCCCCAGGAGGTGCTGGCAGTGGCGCTGCCGTGCGAGAGGATCCACTCGCGGCCAGCTGTCATGGCGGGATTGGCGGGGTGCTGGCCGAGGATGCGCAGGGAGATGTAGTTGAGGGTTGATCCGAACATGGTGCTGTGGCCCTCTATGTGCAGCCCCCACCCGCCGTCGGGGTTCTGGGGGAGGGCAGGAAGGGGGGTAAAGGTGGGAGACAGGAGAGAATAGAGGCTGGAAGATAGAGAGGTAGAGGGTGAGTGAACGGGGGACGCAAGATATGGAGACTCAGAAAAGGGTTGAGGCGAACATGGTGTTGTTACCCTCTAACCCTTGCCCCTAAACCATGCGATTCCCTTCCTCCCCACCCCGAACCCCGATCACTGTGCACCCACCTGGTGGTTGTAGAGGTACCGCACCATCTCCCTCTTGTGCTCTGCTGTCATCATGCACAGCCTCATCACCCCACCTCATTCTGCTCCCTAAGTATCGCATGCGACTCTCACCTGGTGGTTGTAGAGGTACCGCACCATCTCCCTCTTGTGCTCTGCTGTCAGCACCTGGTCCAGGGCGCCCGTCACATGCAGCGTGATCAGCTGAGAGGTACAGAAGAGGCAAGGGGGAGAAGGGGAAAGGGGGGAAAGCTCCTTTGAGTTTGCTGCTACAAAGACTTGTGTGCACAGCCACAGAAGAGAGACCCTTGTGCTCCGCTGTCAGCACCTGGTCCAGGGCGCCCGTCACATGCAGCGTGATCAGCTGAGAGGTGCAGAACAGCCGTGGGGGAGAGGGGGAAAGAGGGAAAATGCTGCTTCATGTGCACTTTGCTGTCAGCACCTGGTCCAGTGCGCTCCTGACATGCAGGGGGGTCAGGTGAAGGGGGATTGGCATGGGAGGGCTCAGCAGAGGGAAGAGGAACGGGGAAAGGTCAGGCTCTGTTCCGCTTCATTCACGAGTCCCGCACGCTCTACTGTCACACACCACCCGGAACAAGCTTTGCGAGCTCTGCTGCCAGCACCTGGTGGTGCAGGGCGGGCGGGCTCACGATACAGCACGAATTCGCAGAAATTCACGTTCCCCACTGACCAATGACAGGCCCACGCGCACCAAAACAAAAACACTTCTTCTCACTCACCAGGCCCGGCATGAGGAAAAGAGGGCCGCCATAGTCCCCCGCCCAGTGCCCGTCCTCCGCACGGCATGACTTCACACACAGTCCCGTCACCCACTGAAGAATGGTCGGCCCACCAGTGGGCGCGTCAACCCCAACAACAGGCACAGTGACTTACCAGACCCGGCATGAGGAAAAGAGGGCCGCCATAGTCCCCTGCCCAGTGCCCGTCCTCCGCCTGAATCGTCTCATAAAAGCGCACAGCCCTCCTTAGAGTCACATCCACTGCCGCCTCATCCACGACTGTTGCTGTCGACACGGGCTCCTCGGTTACCCGCACTTGAGGGGGCTGATTGGCGGGCGGCTTGCCTCCTGTGAGCTGGGATGGGAGGCACAGGGGAGGGAGGGAGGAGAGTAGGAGATAGCAGAGGGACGAGGTGAGACCCAGAACATCCACCGCTGCCTCGTCCACGGCTGTGGCTGTCGACACGGGCTCCTCGGTTACTCGCACAGGGAGAGGCTGATTGGCCGGGGGCTTGCCTCCTGTGAGCTGGGGTGGACGGCAGAGGGGAGGGAGGGGAGGGAACGTGAAAGCAGGTGAGGGCAGAAGCGGGGAAGGACGAGGTGAGACCCGCAGCATTGTCTGCAGCATCAGCAGTGGGCGTGAGGGGGAGTCCGACTGAGAGGCACAAGGGAGGAGGGGGGGGGGGGGGGGGGGGGGGGGCTGACTGACAGACCTGAAGTGGCTGCTGACTGACAGACATGCTGTATCGCGTGAACGAGCATGGTGCGTTCTTCAATGATTCGCACCGTTGTTCAGTTCAGTGTGTCGAAAGTGGAGAAGAACCGTAAAGAGCTGTATGCGACGGACAGGAGACTAGCGTGGAGGTGTGAATAGTTTGTTATAGCCACAGTCACATCACCTGCAGACCCCACGAGTATATCGCTGTCAAGTTTCCGCTCCTGCCTGTACCGCAACTTCCAACTATTCATTACAGTCACACTCGCTACAGCACAATTACCTGTACAGGCACATAAGCGCATCGCTGCTGAGCTTCCTCTCCTGCCTGTGCCATGTGAATTCCTCCTTTATAGTCAGACTCGTCTCGTTACAAACACCAACCTGTAACCTCATGAGCGCATCGCTGCTGTGCTTTTGCTCCTGCCTATTCCGCGTGAACTCCTCCCTCAGCCTCTCCACCTCACGCCTCTCCTCCTCCGTCCCTGCTGCTGGATCAAACTCCCAAGTCTGCGTGACGGGGGAGAGGGGTATAGAGGGTGTTTTAGGAGGCGCCGCAAAGGGACGCATAGAGGGCGATGACAAGGAAGTCTAGTAAACCCCTTGCGCCGAGTCAAACTTCCAAGAATGCGAGACAGGGAAGTAAAGGAGGTGATAGAAAAGAAGCCAAGGAATCCCATTGCTGCGCACTCATTACTACATAGTCCTCTCCCTAGAATCGAGTCACTTGAGACGGTTGGACGCATCGCCTTCAGTGACGGGAATGGAGGGATGGAGGGAGCAGAGAGAGAGAGGATAACAGAAGGGGCATGGGGCAGTAGAGCAGTACAGCAGTAGAAGAAGGGGGTTAGTGGCGTTAGGTCTCATTCCTGTCATGCCCTGTTGATTTATCTCAACGCCTATCCATTCACCTATCCCATTATCACATTCCCGTCTCCCATCTTGTGATCCAGTTATTGTGATCGAATATACATGACAACACCCCACAGCACCGTTCTCTTGATTATCCTCGCTTAAAAGCACTTCAATAAAAGGTTCACCCACAGCACCGTTCTCCCTGATGTACATCATCGCTTTGATGCACATAAATAATCGCATTCTTGCTGGTTTCCACGTTCATGGAATGCTGATAGCAGTTCAAGCGGTTGCGTGAACACCCTGTGAATGATAATTAGTAAGCGGTCGCACAAGTCGCACGGGTAGATTAGGTCGCACGCTCAGGTCGTTTGGGTCGCTCATGTCACTCAGGTCGTTCACCGGTCGCACAGGCATCGTGTAGTGCGGAGGCTAAACCATCTCGACACGTCTATTGTCGCACATGATGCTCGAACGGCTAGCGTCGCGACTAGCGTCGCATGAGTCGCTTGGCCGCCTACGGTCGCACCTGTCGCCCGGGGAAGTCGCTGACGCTCGTCAGGAACGGACTGTCCCCTGTCGCCACGCGAAGTCGCCACATTGCGACTGGATCACACACAAATCCACTGCTGTCGGCGAAACTCGCTGATATATAACTTAGAACAGCAAAACGCGTGGAGGATTTGCAGATTCAGAGTCAGAACAACGGTAGAATCTGACCGTTGGTCGGTGTTCCTCTAGACTCACGCTGTGGTTGCTGTAGGAAGCAGCGTGTTCATTTTTCCCGATTGTTCAGGGGTACAATTCATTTTTCGTGGCTCAGGACGGTTCCACACGGTGAAGAACGGATTTGGGATTTTCTGATTTGCACCGTGACACAACGGATTCAACCGCGAAGAACGTACAATAAAAGCATGAGCAGACCACCCCCTCAACACGCTTCACGAGTTTCTCATGATTCGTCAGTCGTCACAGAGCCAAGCAGTACCGTTTCGGAACGCAATAGAACGTAGTAAACCACGACACATGATTTCAAACAAACACATGCCTCACATTGTCAGGGGAAGGGAATTCTAGAAACTGGTCGCTCGATATTGGGATTAGTCTCTAACAACACACGGACCTGTTTATAATATAGAGACGAACGCACCTTATGTTTGTGACACTTGATCTACAAAATACCTCAATGAGGTTCCTAAGCAACCTGAAGGACGCTCTCCATATAACCTTGCGCAGTGCCCATGACACAAGCTGGATTACGCCCTAAACTGACTTCTTACAACTCACCAAAACATTGCAGGTTACAAACTGTTGAACATTTGTGTGACAACCATCCTACCTCTACTCCTGATACGGGAACACAAATGATGTTGAACTCCATGAATTAGTAAGGGATACCAGTAAGAATATTAACGACTCCACAGGTGAATAGTTACACGAATAGACCTGGCTACCACACCCCAAAACACCCGCTCCTGTGCTTTCAAGCACCACAACTCCTTGAATTCCTGCATTCATGTCCCAAACCAGCCACACAAGAATACGCACACTACAAGAAACTGCCCCATCCAGCCGCTAAGGTACCAGTGTAGGCTGGGCCATCCCTCATCTCGAAATACATTTGTTGTGATGCTACTTCCTCCACCCCACGACCAGAATCCGCAACCCTAACACCATCAACACTTTCCTTGTCATTAGTGGCACCAACAGCTGCGGCCGCAATCACATTCGCAGCAATAGCCGTGGATCAGGAGGTGGAGGGCAAACCGTAGAGTGAGAGCGCGAATGAGGGAGTTGGAACGTAGAGGATGGAGATGGCATGTAAGATGGGTGGAGGCGGAGGAGGGAAGTGAGAGAATTAGGATGGACGGTGCTGAGAGGGAGGGATTCTGCAGTAGCATGATTGCTGCCCCTGAGCACCATGTGGCCTGCACTGCGCCCCTCACTCCGTCCATTGCAGCTGCACTGGAGGAACGTGGAAGAGGACACAAAGGAAAGGGGACACCGGTCCACAGTTCTATAGACATCCCACAAAGAAGAAGGAAACCAGAGCAGCCAATGCTCAAGCATTAGGTCGTTATAAGGTGCATACATGGATCAACCCAAGCTTGGTACATCAAAAGCATAGAGCATAGCATTTGGCCAGGGCAGCGCCTGGATGCATAGTGCAGACTACAAGGGGAGGTGCCGCGAGGTATCGTGGGGTGTGAGTGCAGAGTGAGAGATAACAGGCCCAGCAAAGTACTATGGCCAAAGCTCTCAGCCACTACACCAGCTATTCTGGCCTTTTACTTCCCATGCTACACTCCATCCCCCTTCCTCCAACTGATGCCCTCTGCCCCACCCTCTCCTACACCCTCCGAGGTCCTTCTCTCATCCCCGTTCGTTGCACCCATCCCCCCTCAGCGTTATGTCCCCTTTTCTCCCCTTCTCCTTCCAAAGAGACTACTTTCCTCAACATTACCCACCCCTTCCACCTTCTCTCCTATGCTGTTTTTTTCCACTGCCCCTACTACACGCCCCCCCTTCATTCACTACCCTGCACCCACCTTAATCAGCCGCCGCAACGTCGGTGTACCTCCCCTCAAGAATCCTCATGAACTGGGTTGATGTCATGGCGAGAGACGGCCGAAGGGCACCCATCAACCGTGCATGACTGCATTGGGTTGATATCCTGACGAGAGATGGCGGCAGCTGCGCCAACTGCCCGCAACGCAACTGCTTGCTTGCAGGCACTTCAGCTCGGGCGGCTGCAACAAAGATCCTGGCAGGCTCCGATTCGGAAGGTCATATAGCCTGAGAAATTGGAGAGAGGAAAGCAGCTCAAAGCGATCTGGTGAAGGGGTGCGCATTGGAGTTAATCGGAAAGGATGCATTCTTTCAGGTTGGGCAATTCAGGAAACGATTCCGGGATGGCTAGCTTGGGGCATCTATAGATGGTCAGATCCTCAAGCCCCTTCAGCTGCCCAAATGATCCGGGCAGCTTGCGCAAATTCTCCAGTCCAATCAGGGAGAGATTGGTGAGTCCTGAGAGTCGTCCCAAGGCTTGAGGCAGTGCTTTCAGACAAGTGGCATCACAGATGTGTAGTGTTCGCAGACTTGACAATCCCGAGATGCTGTCTGGAAGGAAGCGGAGTGCAGGCAGCTTCGACAGCGTCAGGCTTGTTAAGGAGGAGAGGCGGCCCACGGAGGGATTGAGTGCTTCAGTGGCAATACCCTTGATGGACAGAATTCGCAGTGACGGTAGCAGTGGTTTCCCTGCAAACTTCTCCCCACTGCTGCTGCTGCTGCTACCACTGCTGCTGCTGTCAAACATTACATATGTTACTGCTGTGTAGTCTACAGTGGGTTAGCCTTTAGGGGGTACATTACTTTAGGGTTTCCTACTTGTACTCCCAATCTTGTTAGTTCAAACACACTTGTTCATTCTGACATGGTATCACGAGCCTAGGTTACCACCTAGGACCGCTTTCTACTACGGGCCCACTATTCCGCTAGAAGCGCCCTCGTGCGCCCTACCTTACGTGCGCCCTCGTGCGCCTTTCTCTGCTCGTGCGCCCTCGTGCGCCCTCGTGCGCCCTCGTGCGCCCTCGTGCGCCCTCGTGCGCCCTTCGTTCTGCCCGCGTGCCGTCCTGCAGCCCTTGCGCTGCCTCCTGCTGCCCTAGGCCAGTGCGACGCCCCTGCAAGCTAGTACGGCCCTCGAGCCGCCCCTGCAGGTCCGTCAGGCCCCCGAGCCGCCTCTGCAGACCCGTCAGGCCCCCGAGCCGCCTCTGCAGGCCCGTCAGGCCCGAGAGCCGCCCCTGCAGGCCCGTCAGGCCCGCGCGCAGCCTCTGCCCGACCGCGCGCCGCCCCTGCAGGCCCTCGCCGCCCGCACGCAGCCTCTGCAGGCCCGTCAGGCCAGCGCGCGACCCCGTTAGGTCGCTGTCGCGGCCCCGTCAGGTCGCAGTCGCGGACCCGCCGACGCGGACGCGGCCCCGCCCTACTGCCCGCCACGTCGCCCTGCCCGCGGCGTCGCCACCTGCCCGCGGCGTCGCCACCTGCCCGCCGCGTCGCCCTGCCCGCCGCGTCGCCCCTGCCCGCGGCGTCGCCCCTGCCCGCCGCGTCACCCTGCCCGCCGCGTCGCCCCTGCCCGCCGCGTCGCCCCTGCCCGCCGCGTCGCCCAGCCCGCGACGTCGCCCTGCCCGCCGCGTCGCCCTGCCCGCGGCATCGCCCCTGCCCGCCGCGTCGCCCTGTCTGCCGCGTCGCCCTGCCCGCCGCGTCGCCCCTGCCCGCGGCGTCGCCCCTGCCCGCCACGTCGCCCTGCCCTACCCCGCGCCTGGCCCCTGGAGCAGTCACCCCTGGAGCAGCCGCACCTGCAGCCGCCCCTGGCCCCTGGAGCAGCCGCCCCTGCAGCAGCCGCCCCTGGCCACCTGGAGCAGCCGCCACTGCAGGAGCCGCCACTGCAGGAGCCGCCCCTGGACCCTGGAGCAGCCGCCCCTGGCCCCTGGAGCAGCTGCCGTCGCGGCCCGGCCCCGCCCTGCAGCAACTGCCCTTCCCACCACTGGTGAGCACTGCCCTGCCCACGCTGCTACCGCTGCTACTGCTGCTACTGCTTTTACTGCTCCTACTGCTACTACTGTTTCTGCTGCTACTGCTGCTACTGCTGCACTTGGCGTGGCCAGATGCAACTCCAGGGCCGTCCGCGTGAGTCCCTCACACCCCAGCAGCTTTGTGAG